CTTGGACCGTTTCAAACGTCTGCCTGTGCTCGCTGAGTGTCACCTGACTGTTGTTAGAACCCCCAACAAATTCACAGTGATCCTCGCCCATGCCACTGCCATCTCCAATGTTCAAGAATTTACTATGAAGTGAAGTAGACAAGAAGATCTTGTAGCGTTTCGATGAACAAAGAACAACTCCAACATACCGTGCCTTAGGGTACTTAGTCCGTTTCACGTACTGATCTCCATAACATTCACTTCTGGAAGGATCAAATTCAAATTTGTAAGGAATCCATTCATCGAGACCAAGCTTGACATCCATCTTAAGAGAAGCAATTTCATTGGCCGTTGTTGTCAAATTGACTGCGAGATTACTTTGGTTCTGATCTAGATTTTCAAGTTTCTTCCTGAAATCCCGTTGTTTGATAGCCAGCTGATTAAGTTCTTCCTGCATTTTCTCCACATCGCGATCTGACCATCGCGAGGCTCTGCTATTCAGAGCTTTCTCCACGTTTCCCAGATCTAACTGCAAGAGGATCAAACTCTCATCTTGTAGACGCAACTGCTCCGTGATTTCTTGAATTCTATTCATAATTGTATTGTTTTGTCGGTTGATTTCTAAGCTTACGGTAGAGGTGATGTTGTTATGTAGTGTCTTTGCCAGCGTCTTCATTGCAATGCTGTCTTTTTCTAGCAGTTCTCTAATTTCGCGATACTCTTGTTTTGTTTCGTTCCTATAATGTTCCAAAGACTGCTGATAGACACCAACAAATCGCTCCAGTTTTTTCAGTTTCTTGCTCTGTTCCTCCACTTCTATCCCCGACATTGTTAAAGGTTGGGAAGTGATGTTTTTCTTGACTTCGTTTAGAAGCGTCTCTAAAGATTTGATTTTGTCCAGTTTTGAAAACGAATCTTGGAATCCTCTAGAAAGAGATTCAATCCTCAAAGTTATTGCTTGAAAGCTTCCATTCAGCTCTTTCACGTGAGTGCTGACATCTTTGTTCATTTGTTCACATTTCTCATCCTGCAGTTTTATCTTTTCCTCTAGGCTTGTCTTTTGTTTCTCCATCAAGCTCATCACCTCCGTCAAAGGATGCAGCAACAATGCCGTAATCTCATCTTTCATCCTCTCTTCACTTTCTGGTGATTTCTGTTGGTCGCGAACCATGTCTTCACTCCAGTGTTTGTCATTGTCCCTACCAGTATTGTCATGTTTGTTACTTTCACTGTTGGTCCTATCCTGATCCGCACTTTCACTGTTGGTGTTGTCACTGTCAGTGGTTTCCGCTGCTAGTTGAGACTGGGAGTTAATTCTGGACGTTGCACCTCTTGATATTTCATTATCTACTGGTGTCTCCGGGATGACATCCAATGTACTGTTCACACCTGATGTTTCATCGACAAATGAGTCATTGTTTCCAAAAAGATCACTGATAGCGATAATTGTGGAGTCATTACCTGTGGCGGTGTCATTTCCATCTAGCCTCTCATCTATACTGTAGATATGTTCGTTATCTGTGCCATTAAATTCTTGTGTAAAGTTGCTAGTAATGTTAGCAGCATCCGCCGTAAAAGTAACATTTTCTATATACTCGTTAACATTATCACGTGTAGCATTCATAATGAACACCTGGCTAGTGTCATTGTCAAATCCTAAATCAGTCTCGTTTTCAGTGTGCTCGTCAATGTGTTTCTCTCCTTGAATAGGACTTTCTGTTTGCACGTCTTTAACATTACTTTCTGGAACTGTGGTCTCCTTGTTGAGTTTAACATCAGTTGTTTCACTATTTGATTCCCCCGCAGAATTCGTGGCTTTTGCAATGCGCTCGGTGACTTCAGTTCCCTTGTGTAGTATCTGAAGAACTTTGCTATTCAACAGCACCTGCTCCTGAACATAGGACTCCAGTCTTCTGGTTAAGTTATCATACAGCGCCTTGACCTCTGACTGAATCATGGACTTTGCAACACCTGATAAAGCCACGTGGTTGCTGTCCACTGTGTTAAACAGCAGAGATACCGTTGAATCGTCAAGGACTCCCGGTTTGGCTTTCCCATGGCCGACTCTAGCAGAAACTTCAGAATGCAGCTGCTCAAACTCCTTTTCTATAAGAGTCAGCCTCCGTTCCACGAGGAAGTTGGTATCCACATTCACAGTGAGGTCCTTAACTTGCTGCTCCAGCTTGGCGAGTTTGTCCGAGTTGAGCTGTCTCTGTTTGTCCAGCTGGGTCTGAAGGTCGGACATCTGCTGCTTGTAGATGTTGACTTTGGTTTCCATGGCGTTGATTCGTCTGGTGACCTGTCCAAGAACACAGAAGTGTACAGTGTTTACTGCTCATACAAGAGCTAATGACACATAAGAGAGCTTATTGCACATACAAGAGTCTACCACACATACAAGAGCTTACCACATGTACAAGAGCTTACAACATACAAGAGCTTATTACACATACAAGAGCTTGTTAAACATACAATAGTTTACCACACATACAAGAGCTTCTTACTACGCATACAAGAGCTTACCACACATACAAGAGTTTACTACGCATACAAGAGCTAACCACACATAAAAGAGCTTAATATACATATAAGAGTTTACCACACATAGAAGATTTTACCACACATACAAGAGTTTACCACACATACAAGAGCTTACCACACATAAAAGAGCTTACTACACATATAAGAGTTTACCACACATACAAGAGCTTACCACACATAGAAGATTTTACCACACATACAAGAGTTTACCACACATACAAGAGTTTACCACACATACAAGAGTTTAGTACACAGATAAGAACTTACTACACATACAAGAGTTTACTACACATACAAAAGTTTACATATACAAGAATTTACTACACACACAAGAGCTTACTACACATACATGAGCTCATTACACATTCAGAGCCTAGTAAACATGCCACAGCTTGCTACGCATACAAAAGCTTAGTACACATACAAGAGCTTATGAAGCAGACAAGCGATTAGTTCACATACAAGAGCTTATGAAGCAGACAAGCGATTAGTTCACATACAAGAGCTTACGAAGCAGACAAGCGATTAGTTCACATACAAGAGCTTATGAAGCAGACAAGCGATTAGTTCACATACAAGAGCTTATGAAGCAGACAAGCGATTAGTTCACATACAAGAGCTTACGAAGCAGACAAGCGATTAGTTCACATACAAGAGCTTTTGAAGCAGACAAGCGATTAGTTCACATACAAGAGCTTATGAAGCAGACAAGCGATTAGCACACATACAAGAGCTTATGAAGCAGACAAGAGCTAACTATACATGCAAGAGATAAATACGCATATAAAAACTTACTACACATACAAGAGCTTACTACTCATACGGGAGCTTACTACATATTTAAGAGCTTACTACACATACAATAGTTTTTTTCACATGGAAGAGCTGAGTATATATACAGGAGTTTATTATAAATACAAGAGTTTACAACACATACAAGAGTTTACTACACATACAAGAGTTTACCACATATACAAGAGCTTACTACACATTCGAGATTGGTCGAGGTATGGTGTACGCCTTGAGTATTGGAGGTTCTGGGTTCAAGCCCCGCTGAAGGCTGGGATTTTCTTACGTAGACTTTTAGTAATTTCCCCTGGTCTATGGGTAGTAAGATCGGACGCCCGTGTGTACTCTTGTGCCCGTAAACAAGTCCCTTGGCAGTTGGAAATCGAAAAGAATAGCCTAACGACGCTGCCCCAGCAAAAATTTGGAGTTAAAAATCTACCCAAATTATTTCAGGATCCTCGCCGGGGCAACGGAATTTGTGCACTGCGCTGAGACTCAGGCTTGAGTTAGAAGTAGAACGGAGCACGTTTGGCTCACAACCATGTGCCATGATGTTGATTTTTTGAATAAACATAAACACATTACTACACATAATAGAGCTTACTAAACATACAGGAACTTACCATACATATAAGAGCTTACTACACATACAAGAGCTAACTACACATACAGGAGCTTACCATACATATATGAGCTTACTACACATACAAGAGCTTACTACAAATACAGGAGCTTACCATACATATATGAGCTAACTACACATACAAGAGCTAACTACACATACAGGAGCTTACCACACATACAAGCACTTATTACATATACAAGAGCTTACTGCACATAGAAGAGTCTACTACACATGTAAGAGCTTACTACACGTGTAAGAGCAAGATACGCGGATTATACATAAAATAGCTAATACTAGTATTATTTTTCTTATACGATGTTTTATTCTTTATAAACATTGGAAAGCCATGCAAGCAGATCGCTTAACTAAAAAGGACTATATGAGAGTGACAGACAGGCGAGTAGACAGGCAGACAGGTTAAGTAATACTAGCAGTGATAGCAGTAGCAGTTGTTGTTGTAATAATTAAAATAGTATGACAAGTAAATAGTAGCAACAGTATTAATAATAACAGTAATAACAACTGTAGTAGTAGTAGTAGCAGCAGTTGTAGTAGTAGCGGTAGTAGCAACAGAACAAGCAGCAGCAGCAGCAGCAGCAGCAGTAGTAGTAGTAGTAGTAGTAGTAGTAGTAGTAGTAGTAGTAGTAGTAGTAGTAGTAGTAGTAGTAGTAGTAGTAGTATTAGTAGTATTAGTAGTAGTAGTAGTATTAGTAGTAATAGTAGTAGTAGTAGTAGTAGTAGTAGTAGTAGTAGTAGTAGTAGTAGTAGTAGTAGTAGTAGTAGTAGTAGTAGTAGTAGTAGTAGTAGTAGTAGTAGTAGTAGTAGTAGTAGTAGTAGTAGTAGTAGTAGTACTAGTAGCAGCAACAGCAGCATCAGCTACTTCAGAAGTTGTAATTGCAGCAACAGTAGTAGTAATAGCGGTAATAGTTTTAGTACAGTAGTATCTATATCGTACCATTTACTTTAGTTGCAATATGTTGCTGACAACTACAAGAACAAAGTAAACATAACTGTTAGCTCATACTCTGACCTTCTCATCAATTTCACACGATGACTTCATCTTCTCCTTTGGCACAACGAAGCTGAGAATGCAGTTGTCCTCGATACCAGAAAAAGGTACAGCTCTCACTTGGAGAAAAACTCCAAGGTCCGTCAACAACAGAACAAATATTAACACTGATGCTGGCCTCAACATTGTCACGACATACATAGTAGAAATGCTGAGATTACTCCTGGTCGTACTCGTTAAATACGCACAGCTTCCTGCGTTATATAAAGCTTACGATAGATGTTTTGAGTCTAGCAGCGTATTTCATAACTTGATTTCCATGGTGATGCGGTGTTGTGAAACCAATTTAACCTGTCGATGTTTTTCACATTTTACAAGCAGACCCCGGGAGGTCAGATGTGGAAATGAATATCTAGGAGACTAGTCATTTTCTGTAACAAAATCTCACAATTTTAATAAAATGCAAGATTTCTTAAAAAGGAGTTTTCTAATCTCGTTTTTTTTTCTCTCTCTCCATATAATAAGGTTTTTTACAGTATACAACGTTTAATAATCTGGTTATTTTATGTAACCAAATATAAGCATTATTGTAAAGATATATTGTTTTTATATATCAGAATATACGTATTCGAGGAATGACTGTAAAATAGTTGAGATGATTTTTTTTTTTTTTTTTTTTTTTTGCGTAATAGAATATGAGTGTTCAACCAAAGACTGCCGAATAATGAAATTATTATTATTGCGGTTTTTTTTTTTTTTTTGGGTAACAATATAAAGTAAAAGAAAATAATCGTTTAGTTTTTTTATGTAACAAAAATATTTAAGTAACGAATAATCTAATTTTTAGTAACATTTTTAACACCCTAATTTTATAATAATACTGAAAATGTTATATTATTTTGTGTAACAACAAATTACAACTAGTCGACTTAAACCAGCAATCTAGTTATGTGCTCACTCCACCAGGAAATACAAGGTTAAAGGTGATGCGATCAGAAAGTTCCCTATTTAATTCATTCAGTTACTAATTTCCTTGGAGATGTATCCACTGGATATAATCAGAAGACGATTGCTACGTTTGTCGCGAAAGTTGTGGCCAATATGCTGGTTGCAGTACACAACACTGTCTCATATGTGTTTTGCCTGTGTATGTGTATAGGTACCGAGATCTCCGCTTTCTCGAAGAGAGAGTAAGACGATGAAGACGATAGGATCCAGCCTCGGCCGTTTGTCAAGCACCGCTAGCTGTCGTTAACTCAAACTGACGCGCGCCGGTGGCTGCTACAGAATAGAACAATATGTGATGCTGGCTTCCGACAAAGCTCGCGAGTAATTTCTGCTACACCAGTGAGCTTTTTCTCCCTCGTGTCTGCTGCTGACAGCGTTCAGAAGTTGAGAGTTATCTGTACTCACTGATGTTATCAGTTATAGATGTAGTGTATAAGAGATTTCTTGAAATATGCCCCCTTAAGTGAGCCGAGATTTCAATCCAACTTTTATAAAATGAATCCTGTGAGCTGCGTGAGGCTGTTTTTTTAAACAGATTTCCTAAGTATCTTTGGTATTAACACCAATGTTAATTTCAATAGATTGTAGCCATCTGAATACTCACGTATTTTGATTATACTGAATTTTGTGAATGAAAATGGTAATGTCTGACTGTAACTAGTATGTAGGTAGGTAAGTTGTACCCACCAGGAAATCACACAAGCGATAAACACCCGGTGACACAAAGTACCACCATGCGGATGAGGGTCACCCGTGGAGAGGTCATGGAAACCTCTTTCAGCAGTTAGACCATACCCATCACCTAGCTATAGTTAGGGCACCCGGCAAAAGCCAAGGTGGGGCTTTGAGTTAACTAAAAACTGCATCCCACAAGAAGATAACGATGTGTGACACACTGTAACAAGTATTTGTGCCGCAATGTGCAAATGTAGTTGGTTGAGTGTTCGAACTGGCTGGCTGAGCAATTAGCTAGTCGAATATTCATTATCTGGTTGGTTTGTTGATTAATTATTGAGAGTCTGATTCATTGATTTATTGTTTTATTGATTGACTAGCTAGTTAAACTGATGATTGGTTGACTAGCGAGTGGACTGATTGGCTGGTTAATTGAATCGTTTACAGGTTAACTGGCAGGATAACTCGATGAGTAGTCGATTTAACTGACTGACAGCAAACCGACTGGTTTCGTTGTGTACTCATTGATAGCTGGACTCATTGGTTTGGTGACTATTGATAGACCCACTTAAATATTAGCTCACTGATAGATTGATTTGATTCATTTATATGTTAACACACTGACAGATTGATTTATTTATATGTTAACACACTGACAGATTTATTCATTGATATATTAACACACTAATATATTGATTCATGGATATGTTAAAACACTGACAGATTGTCTCACTCGTTGCTCTACTCATTGGTTATTTGTATGACTGACTGGAGAGGGGATGCTTTGTGTGGGGCAACTAACTCTGTCATCTGGTAGCAGGTCCTCTGCAGAACGTCGCTCTCATCACAGCCTGCCCGAAAGAAATTCGGTCTCTCGCCAGATATTCCGCCAAGAGCACTTCTTTCCACCCAATGTGTCACTTACTTCCTGTGCCCATTCTCTGGTCAGCCCCTCTTTCCTGGCACCATGCCTTCTGCTGTTAGTCTTTCCACTACTCGGGGGCGCTTCAGCTTCTTCATAAAGCCCATGCCGTGTGACGTTGGTAGTCATGTGTATCCACAGCCTTCTGTTTCCTATACTTTCAGTCACTCTGGCATAGATGATGATCCATGCCATGACGTCAGACTATTCAGCATCTTCTCTCTCTCTCTCTCTCTCTCTCTCTCTCTCTCTCTCTCTCTCTCTCTCTCTCTCTCTCTCTCTCTCTCTCTCTCTCTCTCTCTCTGCCTCTTTTCCCCTCCAACTTTCTTAGTGTCATGATGTACTCCAGTTTTCTCCTTCTCACGAATGATCGAAGAATGTAGACTCGTTATGAAGTGTTCCGTCAATTCTTTTTGTGAGTTAGTTTCTTTCAAGACATCTTCATGACACTTTTTTATTTGTTCATGGTATTCTCATCCTTTGTCTATAAAAACCACATCTCCAGACCTTTCAAATAATTTGTCACTAATTCACCAAAAGTCCATGATTAACTTCCATACATTAGGATAGGATTTATACAGCATTTATATAGGATTTATAAAATTCTTAAGAATTCGCGTTCTCGTCTCATTTGAGAAAGTAAGATTGAGTAGAATATTGATTTTGTAAAATGATACCTTTACTTTGAATATTCTATCTCTAACTTCTTCATTACATCTTCCATTTGATGTTATCAGGGTATCCAGGTACTGAAACGTATCAATTTGCTTGAGGATTGTCACATTTACTTTGATGTTGTCAGGGTATCCAGGTACTGAAACGTATCAACTTGTCTGAGGATTGTCTCATTTACTTTGATGTTGTCAGGGTATCCAGGTACTGAAACGTATCAACTTGTCTGAGGATTGTCTCATTTACTTTGATGTTGTCAGGGTATCCAGGTACTGAAACGTATCAACTTGTCTGAGGATTGTCTCATTTACTTTGATGTTGTCAGGTTATCCAGGTACTGAAACGTATCAACTTGTCTGAGGATTGTCTCATTTACTTTGATGTTGTCAGGGTATCCAGGTACTGAAACGTATCAACTTGTCTGAGGATTGTCTCATTTACTTTGATGTTGTCAGGGTATCCAGGTACTGAAACGTATCAACTTGTCTGAGGATTGTCTCATTTACTTTGATGTTGTCAGGGTATCCAGGTACTGAAACGTATCAACTTGTCTGAGGATTGTCTCATTTACTTTGATGTTGTCAGGGTATCCAGGTACTGAAACGTATCAATTTGCCTGCGGATTGTCTCATTTACTTTGGTGTTGCGTTGGGCTAACTCTGTATTATACCTAACAATAAAACGATCAGTGAATTAATTATCGGCAAACACAAGTTGCCAAAAGTGTTGTGGTTTCTGCAGACAGGGATTCTTTACATATATTTGTACTAATCCGTGATGCGTGGCATCAGTCTGACCACGGCTTTATTTCTGATGTATTCAGTCATGTCAGATATTGATGTTTTTCTATGCCATGATGTCTCACTGTCTGAACTCTTATTTTCTCTCCCTCTCTCTCCCTCTCTCTCTCTCTCTCTCTCTCTCTCTCTCTCTCTCTCTCTCTCTCTCTCTCTCATTCTGCCTCTCTTCCTCACCTTTCCTGTTGTCACGTCGTACATATTTTTTCCCTTCTCCGTGGTGACTCCAAGAAATGCAGACTGGCTTGTGGTGAAGATAATCATTTCTCTTTGTGAGGTAATTTCTGTCAAGACACCTCAGAATGTAGAATGGCTGATGGGGGTAACCACTAGAGGGTGATGATGATCACGATGATGATCAGACGTCAACGATGATGCTAGTAAAAACGATGGCTTGTTCTTTTGTCATGTCGTATTGACTAATCTTTTAAAAGAAAAAGAAAATTATAACAGTATGCCAGGGTGGATGAGCTAACACAGATTTCATAAGTGGTTTACATCTGCTAGCTCTTGTTAAGTAGATCAGACACTTTGGCTTCGATCTATTGTAGGTTAAAGTTAAATGTGATACACATAGATCTAACACATGAAGCTTTCCCTTGCCGAACCCGCCCATTCTAGTCCTTTGATTAGTTACTTCCTAGATGAAGAAGACATTTAAACTACTTCAGAAAAGTCTATCGATGTCTGGAGTATCATGAGTCGGGTCCATTATATTATTGCTGCATGACTCCGCCAGGCAAATTAATTGCGGATCATTCACTAGAGGACGTGTGTGAGGAAAGAATACAACCTGCGTACAACCAGCGTGCTAATGAACAGTAAGCATCTGCACCTTAAGACATTTGCTGCTGGTCATGATCTATGCCACAATGTCCTTTCTAAATCAGTAAATCAGAAATATAGCAAGCAGTAGAATTAACTAACTACAGCCTTTCCCCTAGCTTTCAGACTGAATCGTCTTTGCGAGATACTGGTATCACACCACTATGTAATATGCAGTATATAAGCCGAGGTGGTATAGTGGTACGGGAGTTTGCTTGTCCATGAAGCTGTCCTGGTTCAGTCCTAAGAAATGGCCAGGCGTTTCTGACCAGCATGATTGTCGGCTCCACCCAGTTTTATCA